CCGGGAATCCAGCCCGGCCTGGTCTACCGCTCTGGACTCCTTAGCAATGTCACAGAAGTCGGAAAATCCCAGCTTTTGTCAGAGTTATCGCTGGGTGCCATTTTCGATCTTCGAAGTCATAAGGAAAGATTGCTTTTTCCCCCTCCACAATTACAAGAGCAGGTCAAGCTTTTCTGGCAGCCCCAGATAGGAACACCCCCACCAGTCAACCTGAGCGACTTTACCGCCAATAACGGCAGCGATGCATATAGGGATATGTATTTATATATCCTGGAGTCCCATGTACCAATCTTCAAGGGTCTACTAACCTATATCCGCGACGAATTGAACGCTGGATCTGCAGGGGAGAAGAAAGCTATACTTTTTCATTGCCATGGTATGTCGAACCAGGTCACTTGGCCCCACCAGTACGCAAGACGTTACTGATTAGCACTCGCACAATTTTAGCCGGTAAAGACCGTACCAGCGTTACTTCGGCACTGTTGCTGGGCCTTGCAGGTGTTCCGAACGAACTTATTGCGCGGGACTACGCCCTGACGAGAGTCGGCATTGAGACAGAGAAAGAGTTTCTTTTGCGCACATTGCAACAGGCATGGCCTGAGTGCGCTCCCGGGGCAGCAGGTTTCAAGGATTTTAGTGCTATTAAGGCTTCGTACATGATGGCGTTTCTGGAGGCTGTCCAGGTGAAATATGGCGGAATGGAGAGGTTTGCGATGGATGTGATTGGTATGAGCAAGGCTGATGTCGAGGCTGTTCGGGTTGTGTTGAGAGGGAAATCATGAAGTGGTTATTATCTACTTCAGCTCTCGTGGTAGAGGTTTGCTGTATACTCTGCACTCTGGAGTAAATAGATTCGAGCAATACGGTTGTGAATGCCTGCCATCTAGCTGTATCGTGCAGTATATTTTTTTCGCCTTCAACTGCATAATGTATGAAGTCGGCATTTTAGCAATGAGAATCAAGAGGCTTCTTCCTGTTAGACACTGCAGATACAACTGTCAGGACAGTAACATCATTGGACTCTAGGATCCTTTACTGCCCAAGGAAAGACTCCTTGGTATCTGACGCAAGATTTTGCTTATTTATGTTTGATTTAGAAGACTGGCCATCAGGTGTCTTCTCCAGCCTGAAGACTGCACATGTGTCCCACCTGAACAGTCTACTGCCTAACCAACCCAGTCACGATAACAATAATGACCGGCGACCTTGACAACATCCAAATTTCTGGCCACAAATCCGTCTATTAGAGTTACCGTATAGCAAGGGATGTGTCCGGCAATTTATACTGCACAGTTTACGAAAGTCCTCAGGTTGCAAGTGATTAACGACAGCGGGATGATCGGAATTGTTGCAAGCGTGAAGGAGGAAACTACAATTATATATATGGTCTCAATCGCGGGTGCTAGTTATTGATCCATGATCAGTTCCAACATAGAAAATCATATATGCGCTATATGCAATATACATCGCTTGCAAATCTTCAAGAACAGATGATTATGCATTAAAATTATACCAGGTCAAACCAGTGTCTGGGTTCCCGAAGTTCCTTTAATCGCGCCCCCATAACGACTTCCTTGCTTCAACCTCGGACGGAAGGGAGTCCACCACGGGTCTGAGTACGGATAGATATGAACGCTTTCCACACCAACCCCCATCTTTGTTATTATGCAATGCCTCCCATCTCTTTCGAGAGCCTGTGGTAGAATCAAGTCAGCCGTCTGTAAATCCAAGTTGGAGTCATACATGTACTTCTTCGTCAGCTGATATCGACAATGAAGGGTCGGCACCAGCTGCAGCTGTTGACCCTACAGGTAGTTGAGCATTCGAGATGCATAGTTAATTCCGTAGAGATCAAAGCATACATGGCTTGAGTATGTCATTGAAGACAACCGTCGTGTACAGCGAATCCGCAGCGAGGCTAGCCGGGCTGATCTCAATCTGCCTGACGTACTCTTCTAGCTTGTTAAGGGGACAGAGCCACAGCGATGCTCAGACTCCCTGAGCGCAGTCTGCACTCCGGGGCCCCTCGCCAAAGACGTCACTTCGCGCTCGGTCCAACCTGTCAGTCAGCTCCTGGCGGTGATGATCTTCCAACTCAGCCCCGACACCGCCCGAAATAATGATCTTGGGTGCCTTCATAATTATTTGTGACGTGATTTTGTGGTTCTGGGATTAAGCTTTCGCCTAACTTCTTCACCAGTAACAGCTCAGAGCCCACAAGATGATAAGACTCAAAAGTGGAAGTGTCGAATGCACTCAACCACAGAGCTAAAAAGGCATCCAGACAATTATTCCTAGGTAGTAGAACTGATAGTGTGGCAATGTGTTTAATGAATAATGTACTTAACCAGGAGAAGCAGGTGCCGGCTGACTGTTCAATTAGTACTCCGTAATAGAATAAAGATTGGAAGGAGAAAATTCTTCAATCAAAAGAAGAAGAGAGAGGAAGACAGAGGTTGAGGTGTTCATTCTAAAACTTTCACTATTGCTTATCACCATGATGACAGGCCTTTAGGATAGAGGTAGTGTTAGGAATTCCAGGATATTCTTTATTCTTGTCATGAAGCAGGCGAGATATCTCCCTTTAAATGGCTGTATATGGGCATATATGCCACTATCACTGCTTACAACTTGCGAATGTTAACCTCTTAGAAGAAAGGAATAATCTACCAAACTACCTATAGCAGTATGAATCACATGACCCATGATGTAGATCTCATCGCCAAGAAACGCCACGCGGGGATCCAGGGCAGCCAAATGCAAGAGTGGAGAAAGCTAGGCGAAAAAGGCGTCGGACAAGGTCTCAGATTGTACTCCGTAGCAGCATCATAATTCCCAACAGAAAGTTATATAACACGGCAACCAAGTTTCAAGACCTTAAAAGATGAAGATAGTTCCTGTTTGTCTGCCTGAGGAGGCAAATACACTTTAAATGACAATTACGCCCTGCATAGAAGCCAAAGCCGGGCTGGAAGGAAGACAACAGAATCTCCTAAAAGGATTTCGAAATGGAAGTTGTCACAGTACGCTTGCAACTATGCTCTGCAGTTCGATGAGGGTGCTCATAATTGTTTGTCAAGAGTGTTGGCAAAGAAGATAAAGTGTGTTACAACTCTGCGTATACCTTTGCCAACCGCCTCCGAGTGGCCCCAATCCAAAGACTACGCAAAACAGTTCGGAACCTCGATGTCTGTTTCCGAGGTGAAAGTCACCCATTGGCGGAACAACATAATATTGTGCTATCTAGTCACTCTATCAGACATGTCCAGGAATTTCCGCAGTCAATCCCAGTACGACGGACGGCAACTGGGGCGGTCGCGCACGGCGCCGCATCGGCTATATTGCGGGAATGTGGGCGTCTTGTCCTCTTGTGACGATCCACATGCGCTCTGTCATGGAGCATATCAGGAACACCAGACCGTACCTCACACAGAAGAGTTCATGATGACCGGTGAGACGCGACACAGTGATGCTAGACTCGTGAGAAGCGCGTGCAGGAGTACCCTCATTCCTGAGCCGGATCTGACGACGGTCGTCGTTCGCTCATTACGTCGCCCAGGCTTCCCGCGACAGGCGCGGTGCTCTCGAGCCGCGCAGTACGAAGTGAAGCCTCTGCTAACCCGCACCGAGTAATCATGTGTGTAGCTTCTCGACATTATTCGGGCCGTGGAATTGGTATGGGGCGTCGCGATAGTCAACCGGCGGCAAAGCCTGTCAGCTCTTCGGTCCGACAATCCGCCATTATTCTGTACCGTCGGGGCATCGCGGTGGATGGTCCATGCGAACAGTGCAAGAAGTGGAATTTTACCAGAATACCATAGGCGAGCTTTGTTCTGTGGCAGATTTTCGAGCTGTTGGTGGAACGGAAAGGCGTCTAAGTGTGCGTATCCTCGGTCTCAAACAACCCGTCGCGAGAGGGGCATCATCGAGGCTCGAAAACGTATGTCTCCTCTGCTTTTCTCTGCTCATGGTTGCTAAGAGTCCTAGTCGCGTTCCATGGCAAGCTGTCGTTTACGGATGCGAGCAGTTAGAGGACATCATATCTGCTGTATCAGTGGATGATGATTTAGCGCCATAAGAAAGAGTTGGTTTCTGTTTTGAGGTTTCGCTCACACGGTGCAGGAGGGTGTATTAAAGTTAATCGAGTAATTAGAGCGTGGATTAGATCCAAACAGTTAGTTGCTGCGACGGTCATGATAAAAAAGCGGTTATGGTCAGAAAAAGAGAGGGAAAGAATGCGGAGCGCAGTTTCGATGTGTTTCGACCTCTACCTTGAGGTACTATGTCAAGGATGAGTACTATTCAGTCGAAAAATGAGAAAGCATCTTGCTTCTCGTGCCGGAAGGTAACTATCTATTAGAACTCGCTTCGACGACATCTCCCAACATGAGTATGAAGGAGGCAGTATGTGATTCTTTTATTAAGTACATCAAAATCCATTAAATATATGGACATCGACATTATCAATTATACTTTTTCCTTGATCTTAACTACCTTGATGGTTATGCGCCTGAGTATATGAAAATCCTTTGCTTGTTTTTTTTTAGGGTATTGTGTATATATATTCCCACACCCGACATGTTAATCCTTCTATCCTCATGGTTTCCTGCGTCTGTCAAGGCGACCATTTAATATTGCTGGCCTTTAGTCAATCATCTTCCCTCCGACGCGTTAACCGCTCCGCCACCTTGCCTGTTGTTAAATATCAAAAATTGATGTCTCTTATCAAGACCGGAAAATGAATTTGCCCCCACTGAAGGGTTGAATTTAACCCGAACTTGCGCCAGACCTTGGTATGATTATGGCCATGTCTCATTTATCTAAGGATCAATTATCTGCAGGCCAGAGTCCAGAGATACTGTTGATGACGTCTTGAACCAAATTCGCTGACAAACAGTCAGTCGTATCCCCATGTCATACAAGTTCGGGTTAAATTCAACCCTTCTAGTGGAGGATTGCACTCATGATAAGAGAAATCGGTTTCTAATATTTCAACAACAGGCAAGGTGGCGGAGTGGTTAACGCGTCAGCCTCGAATAGGTATGAGAAGGGAGTGCTTTGCACCCCTATCTTATAACCTCCTTAGCTGATTCCTTAGGGAGCGCCGGTTCGAATCCGGTCCTTGTCGATTAAAACAGAGGGAAAAATCCTCCCTCCTTTTTTGCCCTCACTAAGGTGTAGTCTTTCTCAGATGTTTCTTTCCTTTTTCTTTTTTTTTTTCTTCCTTTTTTCCCCTTTACATCAACAGGTAAGGTGGCGAAGTGGCCTGGAAGGGTTGACATAAGGGCGGAGTATGTCCCGATATTATATCTCAATAGATGATTCCTTAGGGAGCATCGTCGTCCGGCCCTGCTGAAAAGCTGTCAACCGTAGGCCTCTTACCATGATGACTATGGAGAAGTGGCTTAAAAACATTTTTTGTTTTCCAAGAATGGCAAGGTGGCCGAGTGGTTAAGGCGTCAGCCTCGAATTGGGTGAGATTGGGGGAGGATATCCGTCCCGGTCTTATATAGACTCAATAGCTGATTCCCTAGGGAGCGCCGGTTCGAATCCGGTCCTTGTCGATTAGAATGGAGTAAAAACTTCTCTTCTTCCTTTTTGCCCTTTTAAGGCATTTACACCTCAATATTATTACTCAGATGTGCTATAACCAGACAAACTAAGCTTAGCCGTTTGCAATTGTGGTCAGGTGGCTGGCTGAGTGGTGATGGCGTTTGATCTGGGTTGGGTATTGTAAAGACAGGAGAGTCTCCGATGTTATTTATCATCGTGGATAAATTCTTTCAAGAACCAGATTGAATCCTGCCTTGTCTTTTTCTTTGGTTAGTTTCCGACATTTTTTTTTCTCTAAAATTGGACTTTATAACAGGCAAGGTGGCCGCTGAATAATACCCTAGGGATCGTCATTGAATCTGGCGCTTCTCGTTGTATTTCTTACCTTTTGGCAATTTCCCTTCTCAATCCCTTTCAGCCGAAACTGACTATCACTACCAGGCAAGGTGGCCGAGTGGTTAAGGCGTCAGTTTTGAATTTGAGTAAACTCAACAGCTGATTCCCTAGGGATCGTCGGTTCGAATCCGGCCCTTGTCGTTTTTTTATATCGTTAGTTATCCAATTTCAACCTGGAAATTAAACCGTATAACAGGCAAGGTGGCTGAGTGGTTAGGGCGTTTGATTCGGGTTGGGTGATGTAAATAAAACGGGATCTGCCGAAAAGTGGAAGCCGGTTTTGGGGAGGACTCCTTCGCACCTTGGAAATGCTTTTCGAATGGAAATCATTTGCTGCCCTCATTTCTCGTGAGAGTCGCGCTCTCGAGCGGTTTGTCGTTTGTCAAATTCCTCACCTCTTTTACTCTTACTCCATTTGAATCGTCGCTTCTGGCGTGTCAGTCATGAATCGTGCCCTTGAGTAATTTTGCCCCTGTTTGAGGGCCCTAAGTAGATACCCCACGGCCCTAGATAAGGATACCCAGAAGCAAGTGTTTAGTACAACCACACAATTAACTGAATTTTTTTTGCCCCTCGTATATATCATTAAGGCTTGCCATTACCTGACAAGCTAAGCTCAATAGTTCGCAGTTGCCGCATGGTGGCCGAGTAATGCCTGCTCTTGGTTTCTGCCAGTATACTGACCTCCATGTTGTGAATCGTGTCTCTGGACTAAAGAACCGAAAGATTAGCCTCTTATTCAAATTTGCGGCACTCGTCACAGGAACACCAGGAATCTGGTCAGGATTCCAGCTTGCCGCAATTGCATGTACTGAGATAGTCTGACTAGTCAGTGACGGCAGAATTGCAAGCGCAGAAGCATGGCCAGCGGCTACCATCGACACCCTCAGCCCCAGCCTTCGATATTGGCTTGGGACGAAAGGTTTTCAGAAGGACATGATATCCTTCGCCAAAGGCAAGCCGAGCGGAAGCAATTTTCATGGTCATGTGTTTACTCCAATACCGGCCGAGTGATAGAAAGGCAACTTTCCAGAAGAGAGCCGTGACTGCGAGTTTGACTGAAAGAAGGGATGTATACACACCAAAGAGCAGCTTGACCACGTAAAGAGTTTACTTGTCGAGCTTAACCCGGAATGATACCCAAATCGTACGTATTCGAGGACGGCGCAATCTACAAGCAAAGACAAAATCGAAGCTGACAACTCGAATGCCCATCTCGATGCGACCAGGGCGACCAAGGCGACTGAAGACGCACAATTGAAAGAGGTAAATCCTCTCGACGAAACCCTTTCTGATGGGCCACAGGAAGACGTTTCCATCAAAGCTGCCAAAGGAGCTACGGTCAAGCAGGCGTTGCAAGCCGAGATGCTCGACGAAGACACTGATGTCATTCCCGACGAAATTGTAACTGATGACTCCAATGGCTGCCTCGAGATGACTGAGGAGCAACTAAAAGAAGCAGTGAATGGTATCGACCAAGTCCTGTCCGATGACCCACAGGCAAATGCCGCCGTCAAGTCTGCCAAAGAAGCCAAGGTCAAGCGAGTGCTGCAAGTAGAGACGGATCTGCTGAAGACCCAGATGCCCTCCTCGGAATGGACAAGGAGACTTTGGAAAAGGCCCTGGACATTTCCATACGGTGTTCCCTTTCAAGGTCTCTCTCAAAAGCGTTCTCCTGAAAATGCCGTACTTGGTCCCAGTATACAGAACAAGGATGCAACTACTCAACGGCGACCGCATTTATGAAGGCCGCAAGACATCAGAGGACACAATTACTGCTTTATTGCCCATGGGTGTTGTCGCAGCTATTAAAGTTCAGCCTGGTCAGCTGGATGCAAAACACGATCTGCTAGTTCGGGCTGAGCTCATGCTGCCGCGGTGAAAGATACCCCTATCGCTGGGCCACACAGACTCGAGATAGTGATCCACGTGCCCATCTCGGGATTACTGTGACTACAGAAGAAGGCAATAAGCCCCTTGATGTTGTCGAAGTCATTCTCGATCACTCCGATATGAACCTTGAACGACGATTACAATGCATTGCAAGGCTTCCACCGTGTGTAGATATGCCAACAGCCCTTATTACGTTGGTTACATCTATTGGAACGGTAAGAGTGTTGAGTTCAAACAGACACAGGGTATTGACCACCTGGTGTAGTCCAAAAATCGATGAAAACACCTGTCTTCCCATGACTACTTGCATCTGACATTGCCTCTGTACGCTATACATAAAAGTGTGACCCCTTTATCCTCCCCTAGGTTTGGCTGATGCATAGAATAAGTCGCTCTCACCATAGTTGTCTACATGCTCAGTAGCTTTACCGTTCGAAGCTCAACCATCGAATCAAGGCAGAGGCACCATGCCATCAAACTGAGCAGTCCCTTCCACAGGACTCATCCAGCTTACACGTCCGCTGGTGAATATTTCCGACTCAGGCTTTCGCTCATTCAGAACATCAATGTCATCGAGTATCCCAGCTCGGAGAATGGTCGTCTCTTCAGGATCACCATCAGAGTTCATTCTCAGCCCATAGAGCGATGTACCTAGGCGATCTCATCAGGTGATGTCTTTTCCAACAGGGTTGTAAAGGACTGTATTGTACACACCGCAATCTCCGCAGAAATAGTTCTTGATATGTTTTCCGCTGTCTGCTATTTTGGGCACTGCTTTTGGGCTCCCGGTTATTTTCAGGTCGGTCCGTTTGACGACGAAATTGTATGAGTACAGAGAGCCGGTGAGTTTCCGGCAGTCGAGACAGTGGCAGAGTCCCTGGAAAAGCAAAGCAGGGTAAGATTAGGTCAATGTCAATGGACAATCGGATTAAGTTGTTGAAGATAAACCAACCGATGTCATGGGTTGACCGGTATACTCAACGCGGATCTTTCCGCAGAAACAACCGCCAGTAGCGGTAGTAGGAGTAGCCATTCAAACAGCAAGTATCTGATCTTATGGACTTATGATGCTACAGAAGTGCTTCGTGAGGAAAGTTTGACACTATCTACTCAGCCTGAGCGGACGTTTATCTCCCCGAAGCATAAGCACTACCTATGACTCTGACACGAGCGATCCAATAGTATGTTTGTAATCGTCGGCATCGTTGGCCCCAACATGTGATTGTTGAGAATAAGCATTCTAGTCAACAATTTTTGTGCAGGAATAAATATTGCTTATAACTTGTCAGAAGTTCCTGCGGATATTTTTGATTGTTGTTTTGTTGCGTTCGGAATAGGGTAGTCTCGGTGTCCTGTTGGGCTTAGGGTTATGGCAGTCCTCGACATAGTGTATCAGACTTTTGTGTATTTTCCATAATACATTATATTAATTATGCAATTACCCTGGAGTAAAAAAAAAGCCTATTCTTAGACAATGAGTCATTACGACCTGCCTGATTATGGAGTAGCGTTGTTCTTGTTACGAGCTGACAAACAAGCAAGTGTCTCCAAAGCTCGCGATCAGAGACTCTTACTATTCTACTACGCTAGGAATGATTATCTAGCCATCCTTTTGGCCATCTCGTTTTATGATTGACACTACAAAGATACATTAACCATGGTATATTCGCCACAGCCAACAGACCGATCGTCAGGTCTCCTTTTATCATTTCCCCAGGAAATCCTCCAGTCAATTTTGCACAACATTCTCATAAACGAAGTCTACACAAATAGGTACATCCACAGGCGCCTATCCTGTCCGGTCCTGCCTTTTTCCCAGATTGTCCGCAAAACAAAAATCATCCGCGGCGTCTGCAGCTCGTGGGCCAAGGCTGCCCGTTCCCTTGTCTTTCGAGGAAAATCAACAAGAGATGGATTAGTCACAAAACTTCCCCGTCTGTTGTCCGAGGAAGGCCTTCGCACATTCCCAATACTCAGGGATTGCATGGTGGAACTCTGCCATCCGTACTCACTTCCCCAGCTCGATCTTCTCCAGCAGGATCTGGCAAAATCGTCAGTGGATTCACGCAAATATGTCTGTGCCGTTACCTGGACATGCGACGACACCATGGATGTGATGAGAGGTGCTGTTGGAGGCATGGGATATGCGACGATCGGGCAGAAGATGGTGGACACCTTTGTAGATGAATGCATCGCCGCAGGGCTGAAGATTGCGGACTGCGCTGGTCACCGCCCGAATGGCGGGAGTCGAGCTGACAGCGAGCAGTTGGAGGAGGCCGCCATCAAGACGATCAAAAACTTCTTCTTCAAGGAGGTCCTTGCCCTTTGGTACTACAATGCCCATATTGTTCGACAGATTATCAGTGCATTCCCCCTCCTGGAGTACCTTGTCCTACCGGACTTTCTGCACCTGCCGTTCCTGACAAGGATGGAATATTTCTTTCCTCCGTGTAGTGATCCTGGCGATGAGTTGTCTCCTTTCGGTCCGGTCAACTTCTCCCCTCCGCAGATGTTGCACACTCTTGGGATCACATATAGGGAGAATGGTCGTCGATACTCGGACATTATGGCGCCTGTCAAGGCGGTGGATATTTTCTCAGAACACTATAACCCGATCTTGGCCCTGTTCAGTCGCGGGTCTGATTGTCTGCCCGCTAGCCTGCTGTCGCTGCTGATATTCAACCGTTGGTGTAATGGAAATCGGTCCGAGATTGGAACTGATGTTGTCGAAAGGTTGAGGAATCATGTTGATAAGGCAGTTGCTGATATACCAGATAGAAAGAAGTCCAAGCTATTTGATGCACAACACCTGAGGAATGTGATGGATGAAATATAAGAAGACTTGGTTGCCATGATTACCTTAAGTATCATACCAATGTCTTCAAGCTGAAATATTGCCAAATTAGCCCCACTGATAGGATTGAATAACTACCATCGACTTGAATTTCCCCTCTCTGCTTCTTAGAAAATGAACTGAACTGAAGAGATCACTCCCATAAATTATATTGTTCCGAACCCCAGTCCCATTTAGCGTTGACTACTCCTCTTCCTAGTGAACCTAGGACGCTGAAACCGCTGCCGTACTGGCCTTGATTCGTGTCTCTGCTTCTTCTATTAAGTAATTCTGCATTTGTACAATTATAGTTGATTGATCAACTTGAACCCAATGTATGGGTTGCGAATGAGATTTGGGTAGTCAGTACTACTGTGGGCTTACAACAACCATCTGGGGTCCTCGCCTACTCGACAGGCCTTGGACAAGGGTAAAGAGTTCCTACTTTCATATGCTTTAGGGAGAGGCTTACCCAACTACTATTCCTGGGAAGGAAAATACTCTATTCTTAGCCAAGGGCTGCAAGAACTCATTTCCATGCAATCTATATCATATTAGATGCAGAAAATACGACAGAGAACTCATATATCATACTTATTTTGCACTAGCAGAGTAGAGAGAGATATAACACCCTACAGGAGCCCCTGAATAACTTCCCCATCTTTAGCATATCATGTATATATTATTCTCAAGCGCCATGAAATCATACTAACCTATCCCAAAGAATGTGATTAGAAGGTAGCATAGATGCTCTCATTTGCCCTAACAAAGAATTAATATCAGTGGTTTGCAGCAGCCTGACAAGGATGGAGGTTATGAGGAGCAGAAAAAAGGCGCAAAGCACAGCAATTGATGCAGTTATTTGATTCTGAAGCATATTATGCAACGACCTGATCAACAGGTGCTGGCGAAGAACGTGTTTCGGGGGCGTACTTGCAGCCCCGATGAGAGCGTTCTTCGCGAATTATGTCTCTCCCACGGAGCATCTGGGACGGTTCCTGACGGATTTGGCGAGTGGCGATGGGAGGCAGCTGGGTGGGAAGGGAGTGACTGGAGATGGTTATATTATTTCGAACTCTGCGCTTCGGAGGATGGTTGGGATATAATCTATTATATTGAGAACACAGGGTGTGCGCATGAGAGTCGAGCATACCGACCTAAATTATTATGGCCAGTCTCACTGTAGGCTAGGTCCAGGAGGTAGATCAACGTGAGAGGCGTGATGATGTAGACCGCGAAGTGTAAAATACAATTATTAGCGGTAAGCCATTGCTGGTTCTCCTTAGCCCGCAGGACTCTCATTAAATACACTTTGCTTTAAGCCAATTAGGGATGTGGTATTCAGTTCAACAAGAAGTGTGTCAAGACGCAGCCCATTTCCGCCAGGGCATGGTGGTAAGAATAGTCAAGACTAGGGCGAAAGGAAGACAATTGACTATTGTAGATTAGAGGTCAGGAAACAAATCCTCCATCTTCTTCAAACTCAAGATGGTACTCCTCATGAGTGTTTCCAACCTTCGTTTTCCAGGCTGATGAGCAATAGTGAACTCATTCATCTCACACTGTTGAAGCTACCAACTGCAACCAGCGTGCCCCTACTGGACCCACCTTCATAACTAACAGTCAGCCGCTCTCATTCTCGGCCATGTCAGCAATTCGCAGCAGTTCCAAGTATGTACCTATATCCGTGGGTCAGCTAGGGTGTATCTACGATGCGCAACTTGAAAGTCAGATTCCTGTTACCTGCTGCTTTCCATCGCAGACCCAACGAACGTAGTGTATCCTCACAGATACGTCTTCCCGTAAGATATTGCGAGTTATTTGTCTCTACAAATAACCACGACAGACTCGTCGCACAGTTGTAAATGGAATGGAGCATCAAGGGCGAGACTCTTTCCATTGTCGGATGCGTAAGTCGTGGTCTAAACTCCTGTACAAATGACAACACTCGCAGGCAGGTCTCTCTTATCATATCCAAACTGCGCTGCATGCATTGACGCACGCGGGGGGCTGCACTAGCATTGACCTGAAAAGACGAGCTGTCTTCGTAGAAAAGATCACATGAATGGTGATTATAGAGCTTGAACAGCGCACTGCGAACCATCAGTATGGACTCATGACCAAAGTCGCCACATAAGTGTCACCTGAAGCAAATAGTGGCTGCAATACAAGTCTCCATTGACTCTGCTGATTGTTCGGCTGCTAAAAGCTCCGTCAAAGACAAAATCGTCTGATCGAGTGTTTCAAAATTATCAAGCACGAAGTGAAGCTCCAGCTTTGTTTCGGAGCAGTGCCTAATGACGCGGCCGAGGAGATTCGCTGCCTGTGCTAAGCGGGCAAAGGGACTGACTGTGCCTTGTTCTGAAGATAAAGAAACGCGTTCCGGGGGTACCATTTCCTATTTGATTCGATTCCTTCACATCAACCTACAATACGGGAAAATATCACGGGGAGAAAACATACCCCATTGTCCCAGGCACTGTCGTCGGCGGGGAGAAGGGTGTCTTTGTTGGGGTCTTCAGTGCATAATGGCCGATAATCAGCGCCGACCGTCACATACCTAGCGAGTAAGTCCATTGCCTTGCCACCAACACTATGGAATAGCTGGCTTCTCACCGGTCCAGAATTACAATCATCCACCATACACGCAGCCTCTCCTCCCAATCTGCCCAGCTCCGGGGCTTACCGGCTAGCTGGGGGGCTAACCTGTTGTGCAAGCCCATAGCAATGCCGCCCCTCGCGCAGTGACCGATCGTCATGAAGGCTGAGGGGAATATCGCATGGCCTAGTTCATAGATGGAGAGCAGCAGACCGGCTTGAACAATCCGTAGGGTGAGAGGTCCCTTCATATGCAGATCATTCAGGAATTGCTTAGCGATAATGTAGAGCTCTGACTGCCCTTCCTGTTGCGGCGGCGGCACCTCCTGGACAAGTTTCATACAGAGATATAGCAGAGCGATATCCGCTCTGATTGTGCCCAGGGATCGGTCTGTGAGCCGGTCCAATCGGATTTTACTAATTATCGGCATCCATACATGAACGGATTGAAAATAGCGAGCCTTGATAAGGTCGATATCGGACCGGCTCCCCAGCACTTTCACGATCTCCTCTGGAGCCGGCTCATGGATACTCTGCGCCGGCGGATTCCAGGCGGACAATATGTCCGAATCCAGGTATGAAGCTTGCACATGCAGCAGCGACTGCGGCAGATGGGCCAGAGACGAGTTCTGGCAACTCAACCGACCCGCTATAGGAACTGTGCATGGTGTCTCCGTCGACCGATGCAGGATATGCTCCTCCAATTCACGAACTCGGCGTTGCAAGTTGCTGATCTCGTCTATATGACTGGGTGGCGGGGAACCCAAGTAGTTACAGAATCTACCTGTCCTAGTCACGAGAGAACTTGTCAGTGATGAAGGGTAGCATGTATTGTCGCGCGGGAGGCGTTCGGGACAAAGACCAACTTCAGACACAAGCTGCAACTGGGTAAGTTCTTATCACAGCGTCGCTTATTCTTCTTGCACGAAGCACAGGCATGGGGAGCGCCACCGTAGCCCACAGAATTTTCATCTTCCATAGTGGCTGGCTTTCGAGCGTCAGGATAAATCGCGCACCGTAGTCTACCTTGCAAAGTTGCTTGTGCTTGAGGAGCGGACAGCCAAATGGAGGTGGGGGTCTATCGGCCGCTACGACGACGAACTTAAGTATTTAGTTGTGCGGCCGCAGTGTGGGGACCGGTAGCATCCTAGCAGATCGTTTCATTGGCTTAAGACGGACCATGCGGCCAAATTTATTAGTCCTCGTGCTGCCACTGCCTTGTGCGGCCGCAATTACCCGCTGCTCCCCACAATAATCTGCCCGCCACGGTCGATGTTTACGGCGAACTATAAAGTCAGTAGCCTATATAAAAGATCCTAGGTCGCTTGTCTCAACATCCTATTTTCTTTCTTTTCACGCACATCTTTTCTCTGTGATTGACAAAAAGCCAAACCCTTACCATCGATTCATCAACTTGATCTCATCATTTTACAACACAATGGCTCGTCCAGTCGAATTCTTCAGCAGGGGAATCAAGATCGCTGGAGATTTGTATCTCCCAGCTCCCTCAGCACCAGATCGCAAAGGTGCTGCCATTGTCATAGGGCACCCCTCAGGAGGAGTGAAAGAGCAGACCTCCGCTCTCCATGCGCAACGCCTTGCGGAAAACGGGTTTATCGCTCTCGCTTTCGATGCGGCTTATCAAGGAGCTAGCGAGGGGGAACCGCGGGGACTCGAGGATCCATTCCAAAGGTCTGAAGATGTTCGCAGCGCAGTTACCTTCCTGTCCACCCTCGAAGAGGTGGACAAATCACGTATTGGTGCCTTGGGGATCTGTGCCTCTGGCGGCTATGTGCCTTTTGCCGCCCAGACCGATTTACGCATCAAGGCGGTCGCCACCGTGAGTGCGGTTGATGCTGGTGCTATAGCTCGTGAGGGGCTCAAGAATACCCCATTTGAGCTTGACAGGGCGACTTTAGCGAAGGGCCTAGAGGCTGCTGGAGCAAACAGAATTGCTGAGGCCAAGGGTGAAGAGGTTCAATGCAATCCGATTGTGCCTGATCTCCCCGAGGGGCCGGCTGCGGATGAACCCCTCAATGAGGCCACCGAATACTATCGCACTAAACGAGGCTTCCATCCGCGGTCCACAAACAGGTGCCCTGTCAGAAGCACGGATCTGCTTGCCAATTTCTCGGCGTATCACTTCAACAACTTGATATCGCCACGGCCACTGTTGATGATTGCTGGAGGAGAAGCGCACACTTTATACTTCAGCAAGGAAGGAATTGATCGCGCCGAGGAGCCAAAAGAGTTGTTCGTTGTTCCTGGCCGGAGCCATATGGCTCTGTACGATCATTTGGATGAGCATATGCCAAAGCTTGTGGACTTTATGACAAATGCTCTTTGCAACTAAAGGCAGTCATATTGGCCCCCTTGGCATGTCTTACGCTGGCACAAATGCCAATTGTACTAGGACTTCAATCCTCTACTGGAACACACGTACCAACTACTAACTAGTACTGTTGTTATAATATCATATAGGGCAAGCTTGTTAGTTGCACCAAATACCAAGGCACTTGAGATAAGCCTTGTTTATCCTCTCATATATCTCGAAAGTCTGTTAGATTGATGTACAGATGAATTCAGTTAGGTACACTATCAACTATAACTATTGCAGCCGAACTTAACCTATCAGATAATATACCTGCTACGTAAAAAACTCCACAATCTTAGCCCCAGGCTTCTCAACCTCACTATACCACTTCGTCGCCGCCGTCGACCCCGTACCCATCAGTAATGACCGCAGACTAATCATCTCATTGAACGCAAACGCATCAAAATTCGCCATCAGGTGCTAGCTCCGCGGCAGACACACATTCGGCGCGCGCGGATGGGTTCGCCCTCTTGGTCCGATAGTAAACCGCCAAATCCCGGAAGGAGTCTGGGTAATCGGCAGGCATATCCTTGATGCGCTCGGGCAGCATATGCACGAGCGGCACCTTCTCCCCAGTGAACATCGCTATTCCGGGCCTTGGCTGCAGTCTCACACTGTGTTTTGAGGATCTCCATGTTGGAGGTATCCTTGTCGAAGCCGCGGCGCGCCGTTGTGCCGACGCAAGACGGCTGCAGAGGTGGCGACGGCCTTGATGCGGAGGTCGGTATGTGCTGCGAAGGGTGCGTAGCCTCCTGAGGCGCAGATGCCGAGCACGCCGATAAGATCGGGATTTGCGTCGTTGCGGCTGATGAGGTATGTTACGGCGGATTTGACGTCTTCGACGCGCTGGGCGGGGTCTTCGAGGTACCGGGGTTCGCCTTCGGATTCGCCTTGGTAGGCGGCGTCGAAGGCGAGGCAGGTGAAGCCTGCTTCGGTGAGGATACGGGCGTAGTTGGCGGGAGACTGTTCTTTGATGGAGGTCCAGGGGTGGGCGATGACGATGACTGCTCTGTTGCGGTTGGGGGAGTTGGGAGCTGGGGGTAGAAGTGCGCCGCCAGTTTGTAGTTGCGGGATAGGAAGGAGATGTTTTCTGGGGTGCTTCTTGTGACGGTTGTTTCTGGTTGTTTGCTTCAGATGACTTTCAGTCTACATCCTACATCAGGTGGTCGATATCCTATTGGATGTTGTTCTCGCACTGGGGCAACTGGCAAGCCCGAAAATTGGGAAGGCTTCCGATAGTCTTCGGAAATGATTAGGAAACTGGCTGGCGGACATCAAGCGATCCACGTTCTTCCACAAAGATAGCCTATATCAGAGTGATGACAGAGTAGATAAATAACTATAATCTGACGTTGTTCACTTGGTGTGCTGTGTGATTCAGCAGACTCTGAAATCACTGCCGAAATCCGTCGGGTAAGCAGAGTCTTCCATCATTGATCTAGCTGGAGCCAAAACAAACGGTTGTAGAGCAATTCTAGACGTCTAGACGAGAGTGTAAGGTTACCAATCACTGAACCCAGATACATGGTTTCTCTATCTTAGCTTGTTGAGTAAAATAGGTGTTAATTGGTAATCCTCCACACGGAAGCAAGCACCAACAGTGGGTCCTCACGCGGCATCTCCATTTCTCCCACAAAGCAAATATCACATCATTGCTCAACTCAACCACAACAATAACAGAATTATGGCACGTTTCGGCGGCCAATCGGGCCCGTCTTTACGACCTCTCCCAGGGTCTCGTCCCACTCTTCTGAAGCGTTTAATGATGGCGCCCGTACCGGGTATACCATATGAGCAGACATTCCGCGCAGAAATCGACACCATCAGCGTGCACCAGCTCGATGATAAATTCGTGGCTCTTCTCGCCTCGGACCATACCGACGCCATGGCAGTGGGTATGCTAGATGAATACGCTGACGATACCTTTGAAGGACCTCGAGTCACAACTTCCGACTTGAACCGCGTGTTTAAAACAACAGCTGTATATGAGCAAATAGCTGAGGACCATCCACGGCTTGTCCGATTCGACCACCGGGATCCATTCTTCGGGATCCCGATTCTGAATATGCCATCGACAACGCTGGAGGACTTTTTGACCAGGCATAAATCAACCATGTACGATGCTGATCGCATAGTCCCAAAGTATCGCCCTTTGATCTACCAGTGGGCGCTGCATCTCCTCTCTGGACTATCCTTTGTGCATTCCAAAGATATTGTGTTCGGTGACCTCAGAATCGAAGTATGCTGGCTGGAAAAAGACCTTTCTTTAATGCTGCTGGGCTTCCTCGACGCTGTTTATAAAACAGCCGGGTTCTCAAAACGATATATCAACCAACACGGACGATATGAGTATGAACAGTTCCACCCGTGTCATAAACCCCGATGGGATAGTCTATTAGCTACTACGCAGACCGATCTATTTGTCTGGGGATGTCTCATCTATCAACTCATGACAGGGTTCTGGCCCGGACATGAGCGGCAAAGGTCAGACGCGGAAATCAGGTCTATGTTCCTGAATCGCCAGTGGCCGTTACTTGAACCAGAGAATCTTGGTGGTGTTGTACGGAAGTGTTGGGACTATGGATATCGGGATGCTGAGCATTTAAAGACAGATCTGATTCGCTTTCTGACAGATGAGGGCTGGGAGGTTGAGGGGGATGGACTGCGTGGGTTTCGAGCTACTGATCTTTTTCAGGATGAATCAGACATTTCATAAAGGCGATGCTGCTTTGATTGTACGTTATTTAGTCACATAGTATAGACTATTCCATTATAGTGAACGAATCCAGGAATCTAGGAGATCCTATAATACACTCAGATGGATGGATAGATGGTTTCATTTATCTACCCTCGCAAACATCCATCAGCTACGTCATGTAGGTTGACCGGGCAACCGTCATACCTGTACATATGGCAATGATCCATCCCTCCTTCGCAGGCAGCTCGGGTCTGCTCACTCCCTATCAGATTTCTAATGTTTCGAAGAGGCTTCAGCACCGTCTCTTATCTAGAGAAACGCCAATCTGGACGGCCTCATATGACCCCGCCAATATGGAGACGTTTGGGACAAGGACAAGGCACTCCATAACCATAGCCATATAATCCCATCTTATCACTGACTATACTAGATGAGGTGCCAATTGAAGAAGCTGATCTCTACAAATATCAACGATACCGATGGCTGTACGTTGTTTTCATGACGCTACCTAATGACGCTACCTACCTGCTAATGAGCATAGGAGCCGGGAAGCTGAGAAGCTCGCAGCGCGATATCGTAAATTCAACCTGCCTGCCCTTTTGGACGCTGCCGTCAACGTGACCGGCCTTAAGGATGCGCAATGTGAGTACTTTTCGTATTGAAATTCGTCCACAGCTTATCGTTTCAGGTACCAAGATTCTCAAATGCGTGGAAGGGCAATACAACAAGGCGCTTGTCCTGACTATGAGTACTGGCCAAGAGATAGTTGCCAGAATGCCAAACCCAAATGCGGGACCATCTTTTTACACAACTGCCTCCGAGGTAGCTACACGTCAATTTGTAGGTGTCTTACCACATGATCTCCTACACTGCTGACCTGCGAAGCTCCAAGACCGCTTAGGGATTCCGATTCCCCGGATTTATGCGTGGTCAGCAGAAGTGTCAAATGCAGTAGGGGCTGAGTATATCCTTGAAGAAAAGGCAACAGGGCAGCCCTTGGGACACCTCTGGGATGAATTGCCCTCATCATCACGGTTGGACATTGTCAAACAGATCGTTGATATAGAGAAAAAGCTCACTTTAATTACGTTCCCCAAGCACGGATGCATATACTATCAGTCAGATCTTGAATCGCGACAGCCTATGTCTTCTTTTACTTTGCTGGACCAATATCCTGGTTTGCCACAACTTGCTATTGGCGCTCTTACTCACCCAAAGTATTGGCAGGGTAAAAGGGCATTGATGGAACTAGATAGGGGTCCATGTGAGTTGTCCATACTTGTCACTTACTTTGGCTCTGACGGTACCAGGGAACAGCATTGCGGATTATGCTATAGCGATTGGGAAGAATGAGATACAATGGGCAGAGGAGCACGCGCAACCGAGAATGAATTTCCAACGGTCAATAAAAGAGCCCGAAACCCCTGGTAATTACATATCGGTGCTTCAGCAATATACTACGCTTGCTCCTTTTCTAGTCCCACCATCAGGGGACAGCAAGCGAACCATTACACTCTCACACCCTGACTTTCATCTCGACAATATCTTTATTGATCCACGAACGAACCAGATCACATCCATCATCGACTGGCAGCATGCTTCTGCGTCACCCATTTTCTTACAGAGACGGTTTCCGCAGATGCTTGTACTGCCACGGAACCCTCAAGCTGAGCGTCAGGTAACTGAGAAGCAACTTCTCAATTTGTACTTTGAGATGCTGAAGAGTACAAATCTCCTCCGCTGGAAAGTACTTAGTGAACTGTTGCACACTATCAGGACGGACCCCATTTCCCTAGTTCCTTGCTGCTGGGATTGGGAGGGCATCTTCTCCCTACGCAACGCAATGATCGCAGCTATTGCTCGTTGGGATGATATAAGCGATGGTCACACCAAATGTCCGATTGAATTTACAGAGAAGGAACTGGAACAGCACCTAAATGAGATGGAGCTAATCGAAGGGGTGTCTATGATTATTCACCGGCTACATGACAGCGGGCTTATCTCTCTAGGTGGAATGGTTGCTCCGGAGCGATATGAAGATGCCAGGAAATGGAATGAGTATTTCAAGCGGGAGTTTATTGATCTCGCTGAAGATGAGAAACAAAGAGAGCTGCATGAGAAAGTCTGGCCGTACTAGTGAGAAAGTACCCAGAAGGTTGATACCAATGGATTCAACCACACGTCCTAAGGTTCCTTGATACTCTTAGTTTATTCTGCTGCGGTAACCTATATGTAGAACCCATTATTATTTATTTTTAGGAGACACATATTTGTCAGTCACCTTCCTACTTGGGATATTTCCTATACCATAGTATGTTAGCTTATCCAGGGTTAATGATGCAGCTCCGTGGCATACTTAGGCAATCTATTATAACAGGTTAGTCCAAAGTCACACAAGATATCGGAGGTACTAATTTGACCCTGCAATAGCACATCAATGTATTTCCCAGAGCCCTCGACAGCCATTCTTGGCGCGCCTTCGGCCCGCATTTTCTCATTAACTGATCGAATTTCGATAAGGCTGAATCGCGGCCCCACTTGTATCAGTATCAGAATCAGAAACCTGAAGGTCGCTGGGAGATATGACACTGCGTCATTATGCATGGGACCATTGCCCTGCTTTGTGCCGCTTACTTGCCTATACTATGAACATACTTGATTAGATCCCATCTTTTGTTGTCATAGGCAGCCCTGATCATGGTTCGGCCCCAATCTATAAGTACCGGGCCCCACCGACGCCACCTCCGGGGGCTAGACCGCTGCTCCACATGCAGGGTGGAATAGCCCTAACTCCAACTTGCCTGATGATAAATGGGACAACCACCTAACTCACTCGAGATTTGAGTCATGTTATTTACCAAGTTAAATGCCAAGATAAAGACACTCGGGTGTTTAGAATCCACCAGAAACCCACACCAAAAGGGAAACATCTCCAACTTCTTCACCTTTCCAAAATGACCACTATTCTCGACATCCCAGACACCAACCCCCCAAACCCCTTCACCACCCCAATCCGAGCCCTTTTACTCTCTACCAACCCACCCTCAACGCCAAACGAGACAGCCACGCACCTAATCAACACAGTCACCACCTCTCCAAACCCCGCCCACTCCCTCTGGCAACTCTGGGACGCCTTCTTCACCGCCGTCGCCACCTCAACAACAACACACGCCCCGCACCTCGCCCTCCTCCACGTCCTCCGCGCACAACCACCAACTCAACCTACCCATGTCCGCGCAGGCTCCAACGCACAGCGCAACCTCCGCAGCTATCTCGGGCCAGACGGCAAACTCAACTGGGCGGCCCTTCCCCGTTTTAGCGCACAGTGGCGCGACGTGCACGATATCCTCCAGGCCTGGCGCGACTGGGACGGGGTGCGTGGTTCCACTTCCTCCACCACCACCACCACTACTACTACTGCGGTAAGGAGCAGCAGCAGCGGCGGCGCAGAGTACTTTCTCCGCTTCTGCGCCTTCTCGGCTGCGCTGCTGAAAATGACGAATGGGCAAGGCGAGGGGGTGCATCCGATCTGCGTCTTTTATGCGTGTCGTAATGTCCTAGAGCGGCAGCGTGAAGGACTGGACCCGGAGGGGCAGCAGCAGCCAATACCGCATAGAATCCCGTTGGAGGAAGTCTGGGCGCTGGATGTCCGGGTTGCGGCGACGTGGGTGCGGGATGGGGCTGTGGCGCTGTGGGAGGCAGATGGTGAAGAGCTTCGGCGGCATTGGGGGGCAGCATTGGATGAGAAGACGGAGTTGTGGCCGGGTGAGGATGGGCTGACGCGGGAGCGGTGGGAGTTGTGGGAGAGCAGGCTGCGGGAGTTGAGTGCTGAGGGGGGAGGAATCATGGACGGGGAGACGAGGACTGTGGTTGTGGAGGCTGCTGAGGTGGTTAGTGGTCTTCTGACGAGGACTGACTGATTTTATCTTGGCTAGAGCTTGAGTCTGGTTGACAAGGAGCATGTTGGGACTACTTCCTTTTTCCGTATTATTGCGCAAGTGATTTATTTATGGGTCTTCAAGACTACTCTAGCTTACTCTTTAAATTCTTTATAGGTGAAGAATCTTTAAGAAAGGATTTTATTATCAATTACAGAAAATCACGTCAGTGGCGTTCAGCATGCTGTTTCCCCACTGAATCTCAAATCTTGAGCGACTCCTAGCAACGACCCAGAAGGTTTCAGCAACTAGGTAAAAAGTGCAGCAAAAGTCATCAAACCCACCCTAGCAGACCCTCGCTGGTCAAAGACTTGCCCGCAAACGCGACGAACCCCCCAACAACCGCCATGGCACCGCTGAACATACAGACCGGAAAGAACCCTCCCGATGCATCGAGGATCGCCCCGTTAATGGGCGGCCGGATCAATGCCACCAGGCCGGCCACAGCCATGCCCATACCCATGTAAGTGCCGACCTCCTGCGGGTTCTTGGGGCAGGTGGCAAAGGCGGCAGGCGCGGCTTGACGGCTAAACTCGCAAACGCCACGAACGGCAGGATGATAAAACCCACGACGCGGACTGTCCATGCAAAGCCGAGCGACGAGTCGTTGAGCATCTTGGACAGGATGATCGGTAGGATGATCCCGCCGATTGACGAACCGGACACGGCAGGACCCAAGGCTGCTGCACGTTTCCTGTCAAAATACTGCGACACGGCGGCGAACGCTGGGATCTGCAGGAAACCCATGACGATGCCCATCAGGACGCCCTGCACCAACATACTCTCCCAGTATGTTTTGCACAAAACTCAGCATCATGAGTGCAAACAGGTAAGCCACAGACGAGGGGGTAGATGACCTGTTGCATCATGTCAGTCACAATCTCCTTACGAACAGTAACTGGGGACAGCATACCAGGGAGCCGTAGCGGTCGAACAGCGGACCGCCAAGCATACCTGCGAAGAGCTGGAGAAAGGACTGCAGAGATCCAATCCAAGATATCTTGGACGCCGAATCCCCCTTCAGTTGATGACTCAGGTAGTACTGTTCGAATGTGCCAAACGAGTTTGCGACGCCGAGAGTGCACAAGAAGATCGATGCAGCGCCGCCGGCGACGAACCAAGCGCGGATCCCGCCATCGGGTGCTGGATTATTCGCAGACATGTTTTCGGGTGTATTTCCAGGCTCGTGGTCTTTGTCACTCTTGATATGATGATGGAGTTGTGGTTCCTCCTCATACAAGAGTGACTGGTCAGTTGTTCCGGACGCCATGGCGCAGTAGGTCGAATATGATGAATTCAACGAATGGGGATTTGTGCTTGTGTTCGGGAGATTAGCAGTGCAAGAGATCCGGATCTGCTGTCATTGTGCAGACGGCATTGCCTTCAAATAGCCTTCAATCCTCCCTTGCTCTTAGGGCTAACGGAGATAAAGCTGAAGTATGTATGGATCCTGAAAGAGAAGTGCACTGATGCTTTGCATCTCGTGCAGACTTATGGGAATTGCATATCAAGTCTGGACATAACGGAAGGAGGTGGATATAGCTTCTGACGTTCTTGGTTTGACTTGGAGGACCATGACTGCTTGACTGCCAGAATTTTGATGAAATGTTCAGAAGATAAATACAGCAGGTTGCATACAACAGGTCAAATTCTGATATATACAGCGTCGCAATCCCCATGCTGCAGGTTCTCCCTCTCGGCAAGTTGCCGTATTGCTTCATGTAGGTCCAAACATGGGGAGTAGAGATGATGGTAGTCAGGAATGATATGAATTGCTTGGCAGGCAAAGCCCAGAGCTTCTTGCAGATCGTCCTTTGAGCCCTCAAGTTCCGATCGGAGCTGCAGGTGGGATGCCAGTTGACGCAACACAAAAGCACGATCAGCGCCCGTAGGCGGCGTGCTCTTGAGGGCCTCTCGATCCACTTCAATGGCCTGATCGATATGTTCTTTCTTCTTCGTGTCTCTGGCACGTACTCCGAGCCAAACGCCCAGCGTATGCAATGCGTTACTTCGACGAGGATTGCGGAACGAGATTCCATCCACGGCTTTTTGAGCAGCCTCAATAGCCAGGTCACGATCCGCGTCCCTTCTGCTATGTAGGTACCGGTAACCATAGTAGATTGCATAATCGTGCAAGAAAAGCGACTTGTCTTGCTTGTCCAGAGAGTATAATGTAGGGTTAAGAGCGCTCTCCATATCAGAAATCGCCTGGTTAATGTCGTCATCATCCTTCTCATTGAAAAACCGCGCGCCAAGAGCGTTAGAACGAGCTTTCAAAGCTCGAGACCGATCGACATGGTCAGGCGAAGTCACTTCGATCGCTCGCACAGCAGATTCGAGAGCCAACTGAGCATAATCGCCGCTCCTCGCCATATATTGTTGCACGTAAGCCCTGCTTATGTCCACAAGTCTCCTCCCTAGCCTCTGGTCATTGCTATCAGTCCGGCCGATGACCTCTTTCGCCAGATCAGTGGCATAACATAACTCGGAGAATAAGCTGGTTCTGTGATACCGTGTAACTAGGCCCTGCGTCAAGCAGCTCAGAGCAAGATCACGATCACCGCTACCCATTGATGGCATGGTTCTGAATACTTCCACCTCCTTCTTGGAGGGGAGGCTAGAGCAGCAGAAGACAAACTCAGCAAGATCAAACGACATGGAGACATATTGCTTCTGGATATCGTCAAGCATCTCCGGCCATTCCTTCTTTTCATGTTTTCGGATAAAGTCCAGATGGACGAACCACTGTGTGAAGGCATATTCATAGAATTCGTGCGTGTCCATCACGGTCTCTTCCGATGGTCTGAGACTGTCCTCTATCCTTGTGACGCCGGCACTTTCCCCATTGACGATAATCGTGGACGCAGCACGCGGTTGAGTTAGGTCACAGAACCACTGCTGGCATTCGAGTTGCGTGTAGAGAGGGGCGTTGAAGAACTGTTCCAGACTGTTCACTGTAGTAAGGGGTGCCTGGACGAATGGAGCGGATATATATTTGATGCAACTCTTCATAAGAGCCTGGTGGCAGCTCTCTTCTGAAAAATCGGCAGCCAGCCACTCGGGTCTTTTATCCTCCTGTGGCTTGGGTAGAAGGTAATCCCTGACAGTCTGGTGGATGAAATGAATGCGGTTATCGTAGGTGACCAGGAAGAAGTGACAGGTTTCGAGAATCCATGCTTTGAAGTTCTCGACTGGTAACAATTCCATGTCTTCGGTACTGTGGATAACATCGATCGTACTGATACTGAGGGCAATGTTCATCTCCCTCACCGTGAGCGGTCTCTGCGCTGCAAGGACAATTTGAAGCATAGTCCTCACATCAGCTCGGTCTTCCTTTCGAATGTTGTCCAGCAGAGCTCTATAAGTATCAAAAACAGTTGTTGGCAGGGACTTGAATATCTCAACCCACTTGCTGGGAAGCCGTTGCATCCGTTGTTTATCGAGATAGTCAAAGAGCAGTCCAACGAACAGGTAAGTGCGATTATCCCGTATGTGTCGCTCAAGTTGATCACACAGTTCTGCTTTGATATTTTCTCGGTCAATCTTTTTGTCCCGACCAAATGTCTCCAATCGGCTGTTTGCTACTTTCGTGATGTCGTCGCAAAGTGATTCGTTGCATTTCAGGTCATCATTCAGGTTCAGGATAAATTCTTTCTGTTGTTGGAAGATGTCGAGAACAGGCTGAATTGGACGCGTTGTGAGAAGAAACTTGACCGATGGACTTGAGAACTGTCGCAGTCGTACGAGCAACTTGGTTCTCTGCTCTGGGTCGGCTTCGTCCAGCGCATCCAGAAGAACAATTATACTGTCACGAGCAGCCCTTTGTGTTGCCCGTTCAAAAACGTCGCAGAGTGTGTCGAGATTCCATCGTATGTCATCTTTGTCCAAACGCTTGACCATTTCTTGGACGCCAGCGACAAGATCCCCTTGGGCCAGAAACAGTTCATAAAGGATTTTGCAAAGCGCCACATTCGCATTGTTTTGCTGGCCACTTTTATCCTTGAAGAAAAATGAACAGACTGTTATCGAATCGGATCTGGACGGGTCTTTCAGCAATGATTTGGTGAAGACAGACTTGCCAGTTCCCGGGTTTCCCACAAGGAGAAGCAGGCGATCTTCTCCGGATTCCCATCGTTTGAACCGAGGGTGATTGCGGACCCCATTGTTGGTTCCTTCAAGGGGGGTCACAATGTGATTGTAATAGGCTCCATAAGCCTGGTAATCGTGCTGGTTGGGGTTCGGTTTGAATTCCTGGATCAGTCTGTTCTGTTCGCTTAACCGGTCTTTGCTTTCGACAAAATCCTGCAAAGACTTGGACTGTTTATTGGCTTCGACCAGATTGACGAGGACCTGCGTCATGTGATCGTGATGCACCAATTCTTCGACCTGTTGTTCGGCAGACTGGATGTCCTGGAGCCTGTCCTTCCAATCGGCCAAACCCATGGCGTTTGCCGCAAAGTTACGGGATCGGTGACGATAGGACCGGAATGTGAGCATTTGGTACTCGATGATTAGCCGGTAGAGGTTGACAATCTCCTTTCGGATGGGAATCTTGAACTTCTGGTATTCCTCCCCCGTCTTCCAGGCTTCCGAGCGGAGAAGATCGATCAAGTATATATACCAGGGTAGCCGCGAGATGATGTAGGTGAATCCGTCCTCGTTCTCCTTGAGTCCCTCGGCATGATTGAAGACCTGGAAGTCGTTAATTCAGGATTATCCCAGCATCTCGGGAGGGCAAAACCACTCACGGGCGTTAGGACCAGACAAACTCCTGCCCAGGCTATTGAAGCCGGTGGATAAACAGCAAGCGCCGAGCTAATAATTGTCTTGGTCGACTCAAGAACGGTTGAAATTTGCGAGATTGTCTTGAATCGATCGGGCCGGTCGCCATCTTTGTTCATTAGTCTCGTCATGAGATTTTGTCGGCTTTCGGGGTCGAGGTTTGCGAGTTCGCCAATCAGCGAGGTGTTCGAGTTCGTGTTCGTTGCTCCAGTTCGATGGCCGTCATGGTCCGCAGTCAGCGACTGGAGCTCGGATAGTATTGCTGCCTCATATTCGTCCACAATGCTCTTCAGTGATTCATCGTTCTTCACTAAATTATACGCCTCTTCCCATATCTTCTGGGCTTCTGGTAATGGTTCTGCATGGGTTTTCGCTTCGGGGACGGAGGCGCTGGGATTACCGTTGGGTCCTTTGAATTTCACCTCTTCTGTCCCGCGGCCTGTGTCTGCAGAAGCAGAAGAACCACCTACAGTAGGTTGGTCTGATGAGCTAGACTCTCCTTTATTTCCCTTGAGTCGCGAAAGCCATCTACCGAACCCCATCTTGATAGGCAGGACTTCACCACCATCGATGGCTGGAACATGGAATTGTCCCTCAAGGGAAAGCGCCTTGGAGCGGCGTGGCTCCCCTTTTAAGGCCTCAAGCAATTGGTGTGATTTGCTTTGCTGGAGGTGGAAAAACAAATTAGCCCTATCGGAGCAGCTGGATGGCTCCCCCCAGTTGTGGAAAAAGCAAATAGAGGGCCAGGTCACCACTCCCATCCATTGTTCAAGGTCTGTTTTTCAGCTCAATGATGCAGACAGGGCTATCGATTGGTGGTTGTTTCTCGTTGTTTGACTCGGAACTAAAGGGACATGCATCGCCCTACATGCATCCTATTGTTTGCCAGCCTTGTTGGCCAATCACAGCCGATGAGCGACCCTAATTTGATACCTGTGACTGATACGAGAAGCGCCAACAATATATTCCCCCTGTTATTCTGGAGGAGTGATGTTACAGTAGGACTTTAATCACTACTTTGAGTATTAGGTACTTGTTAGGAAATAATAAAGGGCCGTATTGATTATTTATTATGATTAGGCTTTTGTATTAAATATTCAGAACCAAAATTATAAGCTGACATCTTAAATATAAACCTTATGTCTAAGAGTAAGCACCAGCTTATTTTCTCTATGACCAGTCTCTATCGGCAGTAGCACTCTTTTATAAATATACCTGCACAGAGTGGCATCCACGCTGTTAACAACTCAATATCTATAACAGATGCTTTCTCACTTCAACGCTGCCCATACTTACACCACAGCACATACATTCAAAAAGAACAATTCAGGAAGCGAAAAGACAGGGAAAAAGAACCTACACCAGCCAGGATTCACTAGTAGGACTGTAGGGGTTGGTATGAAAGTGATTGTAGGATACGTATATATATGTATTAACCTTTGATAACTATCATACTTTGAGCATGCTTTTTAATCGCTACCTATTCAACCCTATAGATATTACATTAACATTTTAGATCTACATTAGTTTGATAAAGCAACGAAGTGGACTTGGCATTCTGCCAGCATCCCATCCTATTTTGTGCCTGAAGGTGCAAGAAGTCGTGGGTCCTGGAAGTAAGGAAGTAAATCTCCTGAGCCGGCCGTGTGCAGATCGTCTTTGTGTGCTGGCTTGATCAAATCCTGCGAGATGCAAGATGCAAGCTAACCAAGTAGACTCCTGCTGGCTAGCACTGAGTCAAGTTAGGGCTGATGTGTTACTAATATTGTATGCATGATATCGCCAAACAGCACCGGCGAAAGAAGGATTGCAGAAGGTATACATTATTATTTTAAGTCGGCTAACAACCAGATAATAGGTAATTCACGGACCTAATATTTTTATCGTCCGTCTCATCCATCTCATAACCAGCTAATGGCACTTGCTCTTCCCTTCTGTCACTGCACCAGCACGCCTCCACTTGAATGCAGACTGGTGCCCGTAATATTCGAATCCTTCAGCAAATAGACAAACGCCTCAGCCACCTCCTCCGGGGTCCCGACCTTCCCTAGCAGGGCCGTCGAAGCAAAGAACTCCCTCGTCTCCCTCCGCTGCTCCGGCGTGGGCCCCCAGATCTCAGTCTCCGTCGCACCGAGATGCACGACGTTGACCCGGAGCGGAGCCAGGTCTAGCGCCAGCGCGCGAGTCAACCCGTCCAGCCCAGCCGCGTAAGCCGCAGCGGCCGGCCATCCTCTGATGGGCTTCTCACCGAGCCTGCCACCGCAGAAAACGAGGCTCGAGGTGTACGTCGGCTTGAGGAAACGCGGGGCAAGCTTGGTGAGCAATGCAGGGACGACAAGGGTCAGCTGGGCCTGGCCGAGCAGATACTCCCGGTTGGTGCTGGTAATGGGCCGCATGGCCGCTCGACCCGCCGTGACGACAATGTGGTCGAGCGGGGAGTCGACTGTGGTCTCGACGAGGAGGGTCTCGAGGCGTTGCTCAACGGCGGGCTGGGAAAGGTCGATGGTGAATCCCTGGATGTGCGTGTCGGGGATTGACGCCTGCGATTGTTTTATTTTTGTGACGGCGTGGGCCACCCGGGTAGGGTTGGACGACGCGATGGACACCCGCATGCCTTGCTCGGCTGCTAATCTGGCGACAGCGGCTCCGATACCAGACGAGCCGCCAATTACCAAAAGGGATTGACCAGAAATTGGAGGCATCGTGATGCGGTTATGATAGTTGTATTCGGACTGGTTGGGATGTGTGCCACCTCAGACGTCTGACCATGGACTTATATATGCAATAGAACTTGTCTGTTTTCTGGGCACGAGACAATGCTCGGCCTTCGGAATCCTTGTTAATTCCGCACAGGTCGGTTTGTTTTGTCATCGTCTGACACATTGCCCCGAGTCACGCAGTATGAGCAACAGTTGTTGGTTAATGACACGCCATCTGTCGGGGTGATGATCAATCACATCTTGGAAGATATGTGTCGTGCCATCCATGCTGTGTTGACCCTACTACCACTACTACTGTCCATCCCGACTAGCTAGAGATGGTTGTCTAGACACCATTTTTGGCTGAGTGGAAGATGTATGACAATATGCCTACTCGCATCGCTGATCCTTCTCCAAACTGCTTGTTCGCCGCAAAGACACCATGATCGGAGAGCGTAGGCTGGGAATTCAAAAAGAAATATTGTTTTGTAGTAAGAGCTGTATAGGACGCAGGTCATTGGAGATGGGGCTGGTACCAGCACTACACCAAAGATTTCTGACTGTCATGGTAAAAGCATGAGCTGTTGGACTGTATTATTCTTCTATGACCTATCTGAGCAAATAGCAAAACCTGCCTTGCGGCGCAACTACCGGATCAATCTCCAATTTAGTATATCGCCTACTCCACTCGCATTATCTTCAGCTGGGGGTGAGAATATCCCCTTCCTAGACAGCAAACTTCAGTCGCCGCCATTCTCCTCGTCTTTCTGCTCGGTCTTCGCCGGGGCCGCAGAAGGATCGGGGAGCTTCTTGAAGGGAATCGCAAGCGACAGGAGAACCGTGAATGCTGCGCCGGCAAGCGAGAAAGCAAAGACGTCCTTAATACCCACCATGTAAGCCTTGTGTATAGCAGCTAGGTCAGCGCCCTGGAAGACACGGGAGATTTCAGATGCGCCAGTGGTCAAGACCCGGACTGTGTCGATGTTGGGAGCATTGCTGGCGAGTTCTTTGAGCATATAGTTGGCGAAGATGGATTGTGCCGCGGTGACAAAGTAAGCACCACTAATGGAGTTGCACACTGGTTCCACAGCTGTCAGGGAACTTGCAACTTCACGTAGCTCGAAGAGGAGAGCAGAGGGACGCCAGTGACGCCAGTGGGAGTTAACTTACTGAGCATGACACCCGTGGTGGGCGCGATATGTTCAGGCTTGGAAAAGCTTTGCAGCGCAGTCATTGGGACCTGATTCCCGAGGCCAATGCCAATGCCGAAAATGACCTGAGGGCCAATATAACGGGCCTTGGAAGAGTCGATGTCGAGAGTGTAGAGCAGGGCAGCGCCTACTGTGGCCAGTACTCCGCTGGCGAATTCATACGGCTGGAGGAAGCGTGTCTTTCCAATGAGGAAACCGCTGATCATGGGCCCTGCAGCAAAGAAAGCCATGAAGGGAAGACTGTTGACGCCACTCGCGATGGCCGACTGGCCGTGGATGGATTGGAAGTAGATGGGCAGGTAGAAAAGCACCTGGAAGTTGGCGAGATTGGCACTTGACGGAAATTGGAGGGTTAGCCCGGGCAAAACGACCCGCGAATATGTTTTGCTGCTTGGGGGAATTTTTTTCTACTCACATCCAGCCATACATGGCATTGGTCCACACCAGACGCGGCCTCAGCAGGGCAAGAGGCACCATGGCGTACTCTCCCTGAATCCACTCGACCACGAAAAACGCAATAGTCAGTGCAGCCCACAAAACCAATGTAGCGATGACAGAGCCGTCCCTCCACGGCTTGGTCTGGCCGCCCCATTGCAGGGCCAAGATGAAGCAAATGAGCGAGCAGAGGAGCAAGGTGAAGCCCGGAAGATCGAGCTGGCGCAGGATTTCGACCCATGTGGCGGAGACGGGCTTGACGTGCTTTGGCACCTTGAAGAAGAGCACGACCAGCGCAAGGACGGGACCGCCCACCGGCAGGTTGATCCAAAAGCACCATCGCCAGGTGACCTCGCTGGTGAACGCGCCCCCAATCAGGGGCCCGGTGATGGTGGAGAACATGAAGACCGACATCCACATTCCGATCAACATGGGCCGCTTCTTGGGCTCTGCAACGTAGCTAATCATGAGCACGGAGCCACCCAGCGTCCCGGAGCATCCCCAACCCTGCAGCGCTCGACCGACGATCAAGGCCGTGCTGTTTGGCGCGGCTGCGGCCAAGATACTGCCGGCGAGGAAGATGACCACCGAGGTGAGATAGACGAGCTGGGCTGAAAAGTATTTGTAGAGCTTTCCCCAAATAGGCGAGGAGCTGCCGACCAGGAGGAAACAGGCGCTTCCATACCAACCGACGTCGTCCAGGCGGTGGAAGTCGTCCGTGATGCCCGGGATTGCCGTGGCGACGATACCCTAAAGACGCACACAGTCACACACATCTGTTATTCGCCCCAGCACAAGGAGTTTGGCGGGGTTCAATAGTACTCACAATATCCAACGCCGCCAGCAGGGTGCTGAGAAAGATCGTGCCCATGATGGCGGCCAACCGAAAACCTTCGGCGTACTCGGGCTCAGGGGCCGCACCATCATCATCATGCTTCTCCTGAACAGCTGTATCTGACATGGAATAGCCGCCGTCAGTCGCCCGCTCTCCTCCTCCTTTGTCGTCATTTTCGAAGCGTGTTCTCGGACTTTTTTCCCCTTTGGTTGGCCCGACTGCTGAGAGGAATGAAATGCCGGACTCGCTGGACTTGCTGGACTTTTCTGGATGCGCTGGACGGGGTACCAGGTCGTTGATGCTGTATTCTGGTGACCAACTTAGGGTTTATACTCCAGCTGCTCCGGGCTGTTTAGTCAGAGGGAGCTCGCCCATTGGGCCATCCGAGCCATCTGTTCCGCCGTGGCCCTGACAGAGATGCCCTCTAGCCATTCTGGGACCATGACAAATTGGCGCGAGCGGATTTAGCTGGCGATCTAAGGGGAATTTGCTGACCAACCACCCCGAGAGATCTGACCCCTGTTAACTTATGGCGCTCCGGGGCAATTAGTAATTAGGTCTATTAGGAAAGGTTTCGACCAAGCCAAAGCCAAAGCCAAGCATGGTGGATTAGCAGCGGTCCAAACGGCGAGGGCCGCGAGTACAGTCAGCGCTAGTGATGCAAGACGGAATCCGTCCCCTGTGCTGGCGTGCTACAACGAGGACACTCTCTGCGTCGTCAGACTTTAGTAGTCACGAACTGCAGGACGGGAGACGACTGAATCCTTTTTGCTCGCAGAAGCTCCAAGCAGTGAACATCTGCCATAGTCATGGAGGTCCAACCTGAATGAGTGAGTGAGCTGTATCCACTACACGTCTGGCAGGAATGGCCCCAAGCCGTCTCTAGAATAGTCAACTGCTTCCCCAATATATCACGATAAGAGATTTGACTAGCGCCGTCTTATGAATTGATTAAACAAGTATCCACGAGAGGGCGAACGCCACCCGCATTTATCAGCAGTCACTGGCCGTCATCTTCTGATCCTCATTCTGTTGAATGTCTGTCTGTATGATCGACTCTATTCATTCTTCCTCTTTGATGCTACAGGGACGAAATCTCTCAAGAAGCACGCTCAACTCACACACCAACAATGCCCACCCTGGATCCCAGTGAGCCCGAGGCGGACCGCAGAGCGCCGCCCGTCGTCCGTCGCAGCGCCCTGGGCTGCACCAAAGTGCGAGACAGCTGCCACTCCTGTGCCACCTCCAAGATCAAATGTCCGAGAGAAAAGCCCTCGTGCTCCAAGTGCGTATCCCGAGGCATCGAGTGCCAGTACTTCTTTGCGAGGCGCCCGGGACGTCGACGCGACCACGGCTCGGGGCACCCGACCAGCTGTACCAGCAATTCTTCCTCCCCGTCCTCTTTATCCTCTTCCTCATCGCCGAATCCAAAGTCCATTTCAGACAATTACACTCATGGCGCCCTCCCCCGATCTGGTGACAAAATTGAGGTCGTGGGACCTTCTCCCCAGCAGGGATACGCGGCAAAAGGCACAGCTCCCTCCACCAGTTTCCCTGCGAGCAACGGCTCCCTCGATACACCTCAGAGCTTCTTTATGATGGAACCTGCGCTGACGACTGATAATGTTCTGGGCCAATATTCATCAGACCTCTCTTCCGTGCTGGCGGACTCGAATACGTTTCATTCGCTTCCGGATTTTGACACCGGCCCCAACGACATGGATTTTAGCATGCCGGATTACTTTGAACATCCCGCTATCAACGGCGACGGTGATATCGGATCGCTTCTCATACCGGAGACCATCAGTTTTGGCCTGAACGCGATGGACTCCAATGACCCTCTGAGTGCGCCATTCGCCGTGTCGTCTTGGGTCCCCTCGCTTACTCCCAGCGTTCCAACGTCATCTACTACAGACCCTAATATGATGACGATGATGATGATGATGATGGGCGCGCCCCTTACCACCGACATATCCTGTAGCTGTGTGAGCCAGGCTCTCGATCTGTTAAAGACGCTGTCTTCGGCTCAGTCGTCGTCCCCCGCCTCCTCGATTTCCAGCGCGAGTCGTCCGGCGCTCTCGTCAGGCATGACCGCTATGGGCTCTGCGCAGGCGGTATTGGTAGAGAACAAGCACCACATTGAGACAGTAAGCAACCTGCTCTCATGCTCTTCGTGCACCGAGGACGCCTTCCGGCTTGTAATCGTCTCCATGATCGTGCTCAAGATCCTGGAGCGCTACGCCTCTGTAGTACGGATCCAGGGGTTCGGTTTCGGCTCAAGGGTAGGCAGCGTGGAGACTGACGCGGGACTGAGGTCACCAAACAGCATGATCTCTAGCAGCAAGGACCAGATGAGGGCGTTGAGCCGTACATACACCGTGCCCCGGGACGATTGCGCCAGTGGGTACGCCCCCGCTCGGCTTGTCCTCGGCGAACTGCACCGGGTGCAAAGACTAGTGAATCGGCTGTCACCAAAGCTAAGAGGCTGTAAGGAAGGCGATGCTCGAGGCATGGAGCACCCAATTTGGGGCCGTCTCCAGGTAGCAAATGGAAATGACAAAACACAATCAACACCCTTTTATTCAGATACGTTAGCTCAGATGGAGAGCGACATGCGGACCAGCCTCAGTTCCTTGTCTGCGCATATCATCAACAGACTTGGACAGAATTAGAATGAATGATTAGACTCCTGGGCCGCCTTCACAACAGTAGAATCTTCCTCTTTTCTGTTTTTTCCCCCAAGATATTCACAGCGCTATTTGGGCTTTGATGGAGACGGTCTATATAGTCATCACTTCACCGATATCATATTGAATATAGGACCCAGCTATCGATCTTAAGGGCGATATGACCCACCAGAGTAGCGAACTGACTGCGCCCAAGTGGACCTAAGCAATACGTGTAGTTACTAGTTGCCCCTGCATGAGTTATACATGTATACGTGACATGTATCCCTACTGAGTTCCCAAGAGCATTGACTGTCGAACCCCCCTCCTTGCACTTGCCGGGGGAACTCGGGCAGCCGGACCGGCCGAGATGATCAACTGGCGGCGTACAGCGCTGGTGCGGCGCAAGGACCTGGCAAGAATGCCCAAGATTAACTTCTTCATCATGCACGACGTTACCTGTTCCATCTTCCTGAGCATCCTGACCACAGCGGCCTTGGCAATAATCTCATGGACCTGATACAACGGGAAAGCCGCCGCCGAGCCCCGTTGTATTGGGAGTAGATGTCCGAGTAACCCATCCCACCAAGCTTCGACCTGAATCAGCAGCTATTCGGTCCCAGGTAGCTTCAGCGGCGCATCCTCCACTGTCAACGGATGGCCTAGCTCTTCGAAGACTGCCCGTTTGTAGGTTTTCTGGGCGAGACATGGTTGGCATGGCTAAGCAGAACCATCCTGTGGCAGAAATGGGGGAACTTGCAGTACAGCCCTGCTTAGTCGATAAACAGAGCGCTGGAAACGGTTTATATAGGAATATTGACTATGGCTCTTACAGCTCATCCTTGGAATGACGATCTTGAGCAGTCAACGCCGCAAAACACCTTTTCCGTAAGGCGCCATACGGTTCCATCCACTTGCGGCCCCTCAAAGGGCATGAAGCCGGCCGACATGACGAGGATGTCAACCTTGGTCTCATTCTTCTTTATTCTGGCGACGATCGTGTCGGTCTCGGAGATAATAGAGACATCGGCCTGGATGAGCCTGTACGTCCCTGTCGGGTGTGACTGGCGCAGCGATGACAGGAAGGTCTCGTGCGAAGCAACCGTGGATGGGCGAGCGACGGCGTAAATGCGTGGAGAAGAGGCATGCTGAGCGAACTTGTTAAAGTGCACTGCATTGGATCATGGATGTAGCTCCCATAAATACTGCGGCGAGAGGCTGGCGGGGAGGCTTCCATGGGCATGCTGTTACTGTTTGGAGAGAGACCATTTTGTTGAATATTATTTAGAGATGGTCAGGAAAGTACTTGTAAGTCAGGCTGCATCAGACCCGGACTCTTTATGCTGTCTCTAGCTCTCCATCCACCCACCCTGGCCCCTGTCAGAGAGACGGGGCATACCACTCTGACACATCACCCCGCCAGCCATCGCTGATGCTGGCTGACAGATCAGCCCGAGACAAAAGCAAAGAATCCTTTCTTCGGACCAACACAGGGGGCGGAGCTCGGGGCAAAGTTGATTTCTAATCGATCCGTGTTGGTCGGACCAACAGGACGCCGAGATCATCAAGTAATCTCCCTGAAACCCACCACTGCACTGACCAGAGGGAACAGCGAGCGAGACGCATGCAGCCAGGGACCATCTCACCACCAGTTCCCGCACCGCACCCCAAATCTGCCAGCGACTCAGATGACCCATTCAGATGTCTCTTCCAGCCGAAGCAGGGTGTTGTCGGTCAATGTCATGATGACCCAGGTAAAGGGCACCATGGCTATTGTGCATACGCCAATCCTTACGGCGCGCGGAGCGTTTGTTTAAGCCAGATGTATACATAGAGACCGCATGTGGCGATCCAGACTGCCAGAAGGATGATATGGCCGTAGTGATAGGTCGCAGCCCTGTGTTTGGACAGACAGGAATAAGTCGAATGTCACCCCGACGCCAACCTCTCCGTCCTCGCGCAAGACGTCCGCGCTCTGGGCTCGACAGCTTCGCCACACCGAGCCGATCAAGTTCTGGCCTACTGGAGTGTTTCGGGGTGGTCAAGAACCAAAAAGAGAACACCGGACGGGTGGATTCGTTTGACTTTATCTTTAGGATACCCAGGAACATGCGGCAGCCACGCAGCCTCCGCGACCACCTGTGCGCCGGGGACAGCTACTCGCTCAGCGCCGTGTTCGCAATTGCCAAGCGACTCGCGCTCTCTGTCAGCTATGTCCACATCATGGGGTTCGTGCACAAGAACATCCAGCCCGAGACCGTCTTGGTCTTCGACGACGGGAGATCCCCACTGGGATGGTCCGCCCTCGCGGGCTTCCGGACGGTTCGCATGGCCGACGGCAAGACGCTGCGGCACGGGAATTCCGCCTGGGACCGGAACTTGTACCGCCATCCTGATCGGCAGGGGCTGCTCCCCGACACTGATTATACAATGCAGCACGATATCTACAGTCTTGGGGTCTGTCTGCTGGAGATCGGGCTCTGGCGGGCCCTCGTGGTGTATGATCCGGATGGCTCGCCCTCTCTCGCGAAAACGACGGCCAGCTTTCCTGCCATTGGCAACCCCAACTTGAAAGATGTTCTCGTTACCTTGGCCACAGACGTGCTGCCGCAGCGGATTGGAAACAAGTTCGCATAGGCGGTGGTCAATTGTCTCACGTGCATGGATGAGAGCAATCGCGATTTCGGAGACAAGGAGGACTTCCAGGATGCGGATGGCGTCCTGATCGGTGTGAAATATATTGAGAAGGTGGGGGTTGACGGTCCTAGAAGCAGAATCTGGGTTGTCTAACTGGACATAGATCCTGCTCCAGCTGGATGCAATATCTCTTTGAGACATGTCAAAGCCAACAATGGCGCCTTGAAAGGATCAGGTTAAGCTCACTTCATCCGGATACAACGAAGCGTAGCCTGGACGGCAGACAGGTAGCCTCGTCACCAAGTCGACCTCTCGTTTGCAAATTGCCGGAGTAACTGCCGCAAAGTGGAGATTCTTTGCATTGTTTTATACTGCTTAAGAGAGTTTTCCACTGCCATTCTGGTAGGACATCAATTTTCAAGTGGGTAATCAGCACCATCAACTCAATAAGTGCATCGAAATTTGGCCCTTCCCTCAGTCAAATTGGCCATCTACTTGTGAATGTAGTGTTAGGAACAAGGACTAGTATTCCAAAAATAGTAAGCATCTGGTAACTTAGTTATGAGGTTATGGCTAGCCTTAGTCATCATGAATGAAAGGCATAGAAACAGCTGTTTTCTAGGGGTACATCATCTACCTTGAACACGATGTATGCCAAAACAGAGAATATTCATAACTAGAGCAGTTGATAATCCTGCCACAGCTTTCCATCGGGAAGCCCTGGTAAACTCCTGCAAATGATTGCTATAGCCAAGTCAGCAGAGGATAAGCATAAGCTGATTTTCAGCTGGACGCTAACTCAGGGGTAAACATCGTATCTACCCCTATGCTTTGCAATCATCAAGGATACTTCGTCCAAACTTGCCAGAGATCTCGTCGACCCGAACGTCGACGTTAGTAATACCATTCTGCAAGTCATAGCCAACACCCTGCTCATCTTCCCGACCAAATGGAATTCGTTTGTTCCAGTTCGCCAAGCAGTATGCACTATATCGTCAAGCCACAGCAATTTCGATTTTCGGCAACCCCGATTGAGCCGCAATGCTTTCGCTCTATTTCATGATCGCATGGCGAACCGTTGTATGACGGCTGGCTGCGCTGTTGTAGGGGTTGTGTCAGTACACATGTAGTCTTACTCCGTACCATTGTGTATTTACCTGTAAGGCCATACAGGTCAAGCCTCACGATTGATTTCTTGAGTACGGAGTACGGGGAGTACTCCTACCTTACCCTGAAATAGAAGGTAGACACCCAATGTACCTCCCTTGGTACCTTAAGTACCTATGTTTCCCATGTTGTAGACATGGCTGTAGGAGTAACCTTCTGTAATAACAATACTACCCAGAATTTCAACGGCTGGTATGTGACGGTCCCCACGTGGCAAGCGCCCAACACCAGCGTACCTAAGCATAAGTAAGCGTCCTGGACCTGAACGGAATGGAACGCCTCAGGCATGAGCGGTTTGTGCTTTGACCTCGGCCAGGGCTGGGGTGTATGGCTGATCTGGACGGTGATTAGCCCGCGCGCGGGCCACTATCGATCTGCGAATGTAAATCCCGGCAGACAGGCTGCATCTTTTGACAAATACTTGGAATGGGTGGTGGCCCTGGTGGGAGCTGAGCTGAGCATAAGAACCTGGCCCTGGTCTGGTCTCGCTGAATATATCCCAATGCAGAAACTCAGTTTGGTTGCCAAGCGGGGACTGCAGGGTGACTGATTCGGTGATACTGCAGCGTAGTGTGGAGCTGAATATAATATAATAACTGTGATGAGAGAGACTCGACTGCGCTATTCATAAGCGATACATAGGTGGTATGCTTGTTGTTATTATTCAAGAGATCCAATTCAGGCTTGTTGTAGATCCATTAATACTGGGTACTGTACCTTGGAGGTAAGGTATGATAACCGTTCATGTTTATCTAGGTAATAATACTGTAAATACTGATCCACAAGCGGGTACTCTAACCCCATCCAGCAAGCGGATTACTATGCGATGATTTCTTCCAGTCAAATATTTGCATTTGCGTGATCGACCTTCAAGACCAACAATTACAATTAATAATAATACACCTGTCCATAACATAGACAGTACCTAGACAGATATGCAAAGCAGGAGCATGCATACATAATACTTCGTCCAGATCCTTGTCAACGTTCCAGCTTCCGCATATGAAGCCCAGTAGATTGTGCTCTCGTTGACTCCTGCAGGATTCATAGCGATAGCTTCTAATGGGTTGCTTGATTGGAATGAGGCATTATGCATGGGTCTCTTATAAGCATCGATAGCCGATGCTGCGAGGCTGCCACAATATGTCTCACTGATTAGTATTCAAGCACAATCCTAGGTACTTTTTAAAGTATATTTGACACGTGAATTCTTTCTGTAAAGTAAGACAACAACAATACTACAGGGTACAGTTTCATAATCCCACTCAAAGATACCAAACCGCCCCACAGCCCGCATGACCGATCAAGCACACTACAAGGTCACGACAGAGGCAACCATGGGCCTCTTCACCCGGCCGTTTCATCTAAACGGCCAACCAACGGTTTTTTTGACTCTCTCTGGCTCTGGCTCTGGCTCTGGCTCTGGGTCCTCTAAAGGCACGCGCGGACCACTGGAGGACCCCGGCTGTCGGTTCAGGAACGGTTCCATGGCAGGAGTGTGGGTTCGACGGCTCCAAGAAGACGGTGTGCTTTTTCCTGATCGGGAAGTAGCCTGGCAATAGCACTGCGAATATTACCAAGCTGCGCAAAATGAGTGCTCTTCTCTGTGACGACACATTTTGTGCAGAAATAAGGTACTGATATGGGTATTGTCATTTTTTTGAGGCTGGCCAAGTTAGTACGTCTGCCGTCAAACTCCACTCGGGTAGGATAAACGCACAAGACAAGACGGCGATCTCGCTTATCGAGACGAGTCCCCGTCCACGACGCCACAAATTAGAAACAGGCATCGCGGAATCACTCTTAACTCCAAAGTAAATCAATTAATGATCCCCAGGACCGGTGTTTCAGCTTTCCGACGGCAGTTATTTTTAGTTGTCATCGTTTACCACCACGACAGAGACGATAATGGCATTGTCCATTGCTTCAAGTTTCAACAACGTGGAGTAGTACTGGAGACCCTCGCTACCCTTGGTTTCAGCGAGCGATCAGTGTTAGGTACCAAGCTCGTGATAGCCAGGTCCCTCCTACGTCACGCCGCGCCAGCCAATCGACTAACCAAGGCAATTCCAAATACTCTTTGTCCAGGTTCGCCAGCCTCGCTGACCTCCCCCAGTCCACTCAAACCGGCGATGTATGTATGTACCTACTATCTACACTTGCAGTACCCTCCTCTTTCATCTGAGTCCTCGTCATCGTGACATTCTGACGGGTTATCTTCGATCAGCTGCGTCTGATCTCCCTTGTCCAAGACTGAGCCTTTGGTGCCGACGCAGGACAAGACAACTACCGAGTCAGTAATCCCCACTTGGGTGGACCGCAGAGTCAGTTTAGGAATGTTGACGAGGACCCTACGCCTGCACCGTGGTAATGACTGCTCAGTACACTGTATTTTTTTCATTCTTTCTCCCCCCTACTAGGGGAATTGCTATAGACATGTAGTTACATTCGTAGAAGGGTTAGAAGCGGATGACATCGGGAGGACTATGGGCCAGCCATCCCACCCGTCTCGTCTCGTCTCGTCTCGTCTCAGCTTGAACCGACCTGCCCTACAGGTAGGGACTACTTGCTTTGCACTTGCATGTGCAGTCTGCGGTGGCTACTGACTGGGACTGGCGACTGGTGACAATGGGGCCAGCAGCGATCAGTGGAGGAGGAGGCTATCCATTGTGGCTGACTGAGGTGTCAACTAACAGGCTTAAGTACATTTCCCAGACTAGATCTACCTACCAGAAGCATGCCTTTACATTGTAGACTAGGTACTGTGTACAGAGTACTCCTAGAATGGTACGTACAGCCAAGCGACATGCTATCCAAGATATCAGTAACCACCCTACATAACACCCATAGACAGATAAGGATTGATCCCTTCGGATAACCGTTGGGAGTACCCTAGGAAGTAACCGTAAAGAACGATACACCCATGCTTACAGCGTACGCTTACAGCCAACAGCCCTCCAAGTGTATACAAACCTAGAGCAAGCTGACCTTAGCGGCCCTGCACGCGAGACAAAACGGAACAAAAAGCCAATCTACCACCCTCACTGGCCAGGTCCAGCAGTCCCCACTAGCCACTCATCTTCTGACCCAACCCAACCTGGTCCTTCCAACCCGTCCGGGCTTGAACTCTGGCCTTTTTGGGACTGGACTGGGGGTTACCTTAGGTACGGAGTACTCCTACCCCCAGCCTATCAGGCCGAGAAGAGACAAGAGAGTGACAAGAGGCGCGCTAATCTGCATGAAAACATCTCTTTGATCCCTGGCTCGTGTGGCTCCTCCACTCGAATGATAGGGATCTGGGGGTTTGCAGAGGTTTGTCTGTCGATGGTCGATGGTTGATAGTTTCTACCTGTCGATTCTGACCAGGGTCTTGATTGCATGCATACTGCTTTCTTTTCTTTTCCCTTCCTTGTTTTTTTATTGTTTTGTTTTCTATGGCTGGAGGTGAGCTGGAATTTGTCCCCAAGGCAAGTAGCAAGCACGCAGGTTCGTAGGCTCGTAGCGAGTGCGACTGCGACTGCGAGCGCGAGATTTTGGCTGATTCCGTGATTACCGTGCTCCATCCACCCCTTGCATGATCCTCCTGAGTGTGTATGTGTGCGTGTACTGTGTGGCGATTCCACCCTGACAGCCAGCCACGGTCTCGTCCTTGCGTTGTTGGTGTGGATTACACAGCAGATCTCGTTTTCTGCGAGGGAATTCAAATCCGAAGCCTGACCGGAAGGATACTTTTACGGTAGCAACAGTAGAAGTAAACATTATGATTCATTTGTTCCTTTGGTAATCATCATCAACAACAATGGGGTATTATCAAGTCCAAATATGCTCCAGCA